GCAAATATATAATATTAATCTAGTCGCGATACGACCACAATTCGGTGGTCCGTCTAGACCTTAAGGTCGCGTTGCGATGCCCTCACGCAACGTTTCGTTCGGACCACCGAATTGACCTATCAAATGTTTGATTAGTACTTAATCTATTGAGAAAATATATATTTAAAACCTACACGTTTTCATTTCGTATTTTTAAATTAGGACAAATACCTACTTTTTGTTTGCGTGTCGAAATAATGTTGTGTTATTTAAATTAAAAGGATTTGTATCGCGACTTAATTGATGGAATTTGAACTTTTATTAAACAAGTTTTATGTATCTTATTTACTCGTGCTCGCCGCTTTCATATGGGGTTCATACCATGAGCCATGAGAAGTCAGCATTGCATACGAAATGTGCAACACTGCCTTCATTATTGAGGATCAAAGAGGCACAACAATGTTGCGTTGGTATCCAGTGATTACGTGATTTACCAGTAAAATCTCGATTTGTAATCAGTAATATTCGTTTATATCGAAAATTAAAAATACCTTACCAAAGAATCAACAGACCACCTCAGATGGTGCCCAAAAGGCTGATGTTCAGCTGAGATTGTGGGGTAAGCGCGATAATGAACCGCGGCCTGAAGCAGGAGATAGACTGGGGTAATTTTAATTTAAATCAATGAGTTTGATACTCCTTTTTGCCCCGCCCAAGATTCGAGAGAAGTCATTTGACCGAATTCGGAAAAAAACGATCGAATTAGCCTCTTTAGCCATCAGCACAGACGTGCAACTATCGCGCAACTAAAAATCGCGCGATACATTCTTTTAACAAACACGTAAACACACATTTTTAGTCTGTAACTAATAAACATTTTCTCACTCCTCTCAATATTATCTTGTTTGAAAGAAAACAATAAATTTCTTGCAAACACTAAGATTTATATTAAAACACACCCACGCCACGGTTGTAGTTGTTTAATTTTCAAACAATATAAACAAAGTTTGTTTATCGTATATTTAATAATGTAAGTGTATTTATATGCCGTAGTTATGAACCGCGTTAAGGTAAAGAAATATTTTTTAAACAAAACTTTTCAATGAGAATTTTGACCCAGAGCCAAGCTTCGACACGAATAGGCCAAGTCTCGGCCTTACTAAAGAATTGTCGTGGGGCAATGGATACGTTGTATTTAGTGGTATGATGACATGGCATTACCAGAGGTCCTCCACCTTCCCATTTGCCCAATGCCTAAATCTCTCTAAGGAGTGACGTTGTGTTTCGTCGTATGAATGACAAGGAAATTACCAGAGGTTACCACACCTTTCCATTTCCCCAATACCTAAATATTCCACTCCTTAAATCTCTAACACTCAAAATGGCCGCAGCAGACTTGCAATTCATCTGCTCTTGTGGGTGGCGACAGTTTCTTACTTCAGTAGATCCCTCTGCCAATTTCCCGACCCATCCAATATAAAAGAGCGAAGTTCAATATTGTTGATGCGTTTATAGCGTATATTAAGTGTGACAGTCTACTACCAAGTATAATTATTTATATTAAATAGGCATCATTGTTTAAAATCAAAGCTGTGAGTACCTATACTTTTCGAGATCTTGGTTACGATTGGTCAAGTTATTAGCAAGATTGAGCATTGCAAACCACACTTGCTAAAGTTACGGCACACTCTAAGTCAGTGGTGTCTTAATAATTTTAGAAAGTAACTATATAACTCGGAAAAAGTCACTTTTTATTTGCCAGTTTTTGAAACACCATGTACGAGAAACGGGCGCCCTAACCTCCGGGCTATATCGAAATTCTGCATGTCTTGTTAAAGGTAAAAAACATGTTTTTTTTGTAACCGCCAAGTTGAAAAAAAAGAATAATAAATAAAATTCTTTTAAGTTACCTATAAATTGTTATAAACCCATATAATTAGTATTGTATGTACGGTCGTTATTATTGTAATAAGTACTTACACATAAGTAAGTTGTATTTATAAATGAATTTTGAAATAAGCAATGAATGTGTTGTATGTTATAAAATGTATCAGGTCGATGTATTTAAGTGTTAATTTGATTTGAAATAAATATTATTTGAAAATTTATATGTTTTTAATTGCTTTTGTTGATAAGATAAACTGGAATGCAGCTCTTGATTGATTGCTTTATTGTTTTCTAAATGGACGGAAATATGGATTGAACAAAAAATGGCTGATACTTGCAACTCTAAGATATTAAGACGCTGTTTCAAAACTAGACAAAAATTGTTTTTATTTTCATATAAGAATGGCACACAAATACTTGGCACTAAAGAAAACACCAAGTGAACTACGTAAGCAGGTCATAAAATAAGAAACGTATGCTAAAATAACACTTAGTACTAAAATCCTAAAGACCACATTAGCACGGTAGTATCTTCAAACATTACCCATTGTGTTCGCGCCAGAGCCTATAGACCACCATACAAAAACATATAGTGCACCCAAAACGACAATGGCTTATCGCATGCACTCATCAATAAAACAAAAGAAATAAAATAACCTACACTACTAAATATCGTCACACAACCTTATACGAACCATTCATGACAAATCATACGATAAAATCAACAATACATCATCCTTATCTCAAAGACATAAGGTCTATATTACTTAGTTAATTAATGAAGTAAAAATAGTGACGTCCAGTTACCATAATTACGTTTAAGGTACTAACATTATCATACAATTGCTGAGACATTATTGTATGGGTCACTCGTTTGAATAGTGATGGGCAATACTTTTATCGATAATAAGTGCAAACTGTTATTTTAATGGGTTATTTATTCATAATTTTGACATCAATACATTTTTGTTCGATATTGGTTCCGGATATTGGATATTCAAATTTTGTATACCGTTCCGGTTAATACTTGATTTGCATGAGGATTGTGTGGTTTTCGATAGCTTTATTGAAATACTATTGCAGTGTAGTTATTTGTTATGTATTTTAAATGCATCATTAAACATGTATATTTAAAATGAAAATTAGACACCGGGTACAACACCAGTAACAGGTATATTTTTAGAATAACGAATAAATCAATAGATCATCTAACAAAATGTTAACAGTCCAATTTTACAAAAACGTTTACCTAAAAATGCTCAAAATTTAGTGTAAAATAAAATTATACAATTTCTCCTAAAATAACAATTGACCTAAATCCTTCTGCTTCGTTCGGCAACAGAAACGATATCGAGCAAAAAAAATACAATAGATAATATTATAAAACATAAATTTAAAATCATAATAATTTTGTTAAAACGAGGAAAAAAATACCAAATTCTTCCTCCGATGGTTCGTTGGTATAACATTCCATGGTAACAGGGAAAATAACCGTCACGGAAATCGGATGATAGTGTCACATTTGAGCATTACATGAGGCAATACCACCGAAAATCGTTGTCGTCTCGTACACGTGTCGTTTCCGTTACTTTCATCTTCAAATTGGATTTGAGGGGCCGCCGAAGTGTCCCTGGCTGAATGATAAAAACTATGTCAGTGAGTCCTTGAATTAGGAACGTCCGACTTATATTTTTTTATGGATTGTTACTTGTGACGGGTTATTTGGAGGGCAATTTTTCGTGGGCATAAAGGGCCAGGGCTTTTTTATTACAGAAGACAATAAAACGTGTTATATTTGTTATACCTGTGTAGTTCCGTTGTTAAGAAATAATAAAGTCTAAATTATTTTGTGTTCGAAGGACAAAAGTATATTTTAAGTAGGTAAAACTTAATGAATTAAAATAAGAATTCCAGGACAAAAACAGATTTAAAATATTGTCCACTACTACACTGTGTGTTTAGTTATTATAGTGTGTTTCATTTAAATGTAATTTAAATGTAACATGTAAATGAAACACACTTTAAAATTATTGTTTCCCTATTATTGACAAAGCCTACTAATAAATTATTATGAAAGCAAATATTTGTTGCTCTTTCACACATAAACGGCTGAATAGATACGTATTAATTTTTTTTAAACAGGAATTGATATTAGTCTGGAATTGCATGGATACTTTGGATACCTCAGATAAAGTTGTTGTATTGATAATAGTAGTCTAGTAAAGTAGTATAACTATAACAGGAAGTTATATTTTCCCATCACTAAAACCCGTCATTTTGTATCAGTTCTGATATACACTGCCAACGTTAAACTAGTGAAAATAAACGCGTTTTTTATTTTATATTATAGTTTATTGTTCCGTGGAAAATAACTAAACATCGTTATCATCGATATAATGAGTTTTAGTGATACTAATTGATATTTAATTGTGCGCAACGTTTGATATTTTGATAGTAACTATTTATTTATTTATGTTATTATAGATTTTGAATCTGTTTTTGATGTCATATGATATTATTATCTAGTTTAACTAAGTACCTATCTACGTCCAATTTTCCGTTACTGAATATTTTATTTATAATCATCCAGGTTTTTAATTTTGCAAAATACTAAAATATATTTACTAATCACAAAAAGCAAGGAGTAATTCTAAATTCAAATTGACCATTTATTTTTTCTATATTCATTCGTCAAGCGAATATTATAACCGCAACTACAAACCATCGAGTAACTACTACGCCCAGACGCTCAATTTTTTTTTCTAATTTTAGAACGAACAAACAAATTTATTGCATTTGATTTCGAAGAGCGATTTTGAATACTCGCACCGGTGTTGGTATCCGGTAGTCTTAACCGAGGCTCGTTAATGCAGACCGCGTGATATATCAATTACATTAAAACAAACTGATAAACAGTCGAACTCCGTAACTGTACGCTTCCACTATGTGAAAAAGTTGCCGTTATAACAACAACAAAAAAAAAAAGAAAAAATAAAGTGACAAAAAAATTGGATATATTTTTAAAAACTTTAAACAAAAAAAAACTGTGCAAATATTAAAAAAAAACAAAGTGGTCATAAATAAAAGGGTCAAAAATCCTTATTTAAATAAATAATAAAAACTGTATTATTTAAAAAAAAAAATTGTGACTGACAACTAAGAAATATAAATAATTCGAATCCGAGTTCAAATTTAAAAAAAGAGAAGAAAAGTTAAGGTGTAATAAAAAAAATTGTGCGTAAAAGCTGTCACAAAAAAGTGTTTTCAGTTTTTTTTGTGTGCGTGTTTTTGAAGACACAGTTTATTATAATGGGTTGTGAATTAAGTAAGTTGGCGTCTTCAGAATTCAACAACCATGATCCTCTGGACCGTCCTCCACCGCCAGCCGACCCTCGGTCGCCTCTCACCACTAAGCAACAGTACTGCATGCTGGCATCATGGAAAGGAATCTTCAGACAAATTGAGAAGACTGGCATCCTTTTGTTTATCAAGTAAGTACATTTTTTTTTTCATTTTAAAAATAGATAGAAAGTTCTTAATTTTTTCAGAAAATAATTAATGAGAAAATATTTAATGTACATTCTATAAAATTGCTAAAATGACCCATAACCACATTTTTTGAATATTTAATCATGTTTCTGTAAGTCGTAACGAAGATGATAGTAAATTAATATTTTAACTAATAATACATCAAACACCAAGCGAGCGCCGGCGTTCGCGCACCTATTATTCTTCTGCTGTCTCGAAATACTAAGATTGAAAGGTTAAATCAAACTTAGTTGTATTAAAGAACAATTAAGAATTGTAATTTATAGGTTCAATCAACAAAAACAGACCACATACTCGTGTTAAAATAGTCGGATTTGTTACACGACGATCAGAATGCCCGACAGTCATTTGTTTTACATCATATCCTATTTTAAATGGGCTGCTTTTAAAGACTTTGAGATTCTTTTCAACAACATGGCATTATGATTATAACCAATCAATGCGTTTAGTAGAATATCACGCGAAATTCCAGTGTTCCATTTTATGTTCGGTTTGTTCTAGCGCTAAATCTTAAAAATACGATATTTGTGAATGTAGTTACAGTTAATTATGGTGGAAAGTATTAAATGTATTAAGAATAAAAAAATATATGATGGAAAGTAATCCTTAAACACGTTAAACGCCATTGAGGTCACCTGTTTGCGTTCAAAAGTTTTCTGTCGGCAGTCAAAGGCAAATTTACAATTTTTTTTTTACTTTACTCCTATATATGTAATTTCGGAGACGAAAACAAATAGATACACTGACAGACAGACCGACCAATCTTATAACAGTCCTATTTTCGCTTCGGGAATTAAAACGATTAAGTATTAAATTCTGCAGAAACAACTAACATTTTCTTTTTGCTTCATTATCTCGAAAAGAAAACTTAACGTTTAAACTTTTTTAATGAACCTAATTGATAGAGAATAGTTTGTCTATGTAATCAGTTTACAGTCTGAACTCTAGACGCATGATCAACAATTTTTTTAAAACAAAATAAAATGTAAACGAACTAATCAATAGCGATGGCAAAACAATATATAATAAAATTTAATAAGACTGTACATTTGACACAGTTACTGGGTAACCGGCTGCCGTGTGGAAGAGCCATGCTTCGGCACGACTGGGCCGGCTCGACCGGAGTGATATCACGGCCTCACAATACTGGTGTGAAGCAACATTTACGGTGTGTTTCACCGTGTGATGAGGTTACCTCAAATTCCCTATCCTTAAAATAATCCCTAATAACATATGTACAATAGGCCGGTGACGCATTTGTAGTAACTCTTTTGGTACTATCAGCGTCAACGGTCGGCGCTGATTGCTTACCATGAGGAAATCTGTCAGCTCGTTTACCGACTTTTGACATAAGAAAAAGTTACTTAATAAATCTCTTTTAACGTATAAATGTATCTTTTTACTTAGGTTATTGTTGAAGTCCATAAATTAGACATTTAGATGAAATAACTATGAAGGGCGATCAAACAAACAATGGATCATTATTACCAAAGTGGCCATCTTCAAGTAGTACCTACACGAGTCTGCAGCACAGTGCACAGTCGTTACAGACAATCACCTAGATTTACTCGTAAAACTAAAGCTGTCCAGAGCTCATTTGTCGTAGAAAGCACTGAGTATGTCTGTGTATTGTACAGAATAGAATTTTCAGTTTTATAGTTCCTTTTTTCTACACTAGGAGCGCTTCTGACGCTTTATGTCCATTGTGTGTGAACAATTATATTCAAAGTTTGATTAAAATTAGAGAGAGTTCTTAAAGAAAATATTCCATTGTGATTTTTTATCTGTCTGGATTAATCTGTCTGTTGAAATAAAATATTCTTGTATAACTAAACAGTAACATACGTATGCGTGACAAAACTGTCAGCTCATACGAGTAATATATTATCCCAGAGCACAAAACGTGAGCAAAAGCCCTCAGAACTAAGAAACTGTATAATAAAATATATTAAAAATGAACACGAATTTGTTTAAAAATAACTTTATAGTGCCCTGGTCCGAATCACTGAAATAATATGTGACACGTTTACGCGGGCTCAAATACCTACTTCTCCTTTATCGACATTATTTATTAATGAAACTGACTTTTATAAACTGTTTTAAATATCTACGAAACATACCAAACTAAAGCTTCAGGTAAAATACCTGCAAAATATATTAAATAAAACCTCTATTTTATTTAATGAAAAGCACATTTTTAGTAAAAAAAATTGTTGGTTATATAAACTTTATATTGACATTCTTCTACCTAGATTTTAAGAATCATAAATAGGTACTATGACTAACAGAGACCATATGACGACACAACTCCACAACACCTTACTCTAGAAAATTCACAAGAATTCAGATAAAGAATTTAACTGGCAGACATATAAACCCAATGTTTTTTTTTAGGATTTTTTTAAAAAAGGAACAGCAAACAGTTACAATATTAAGCTACAATTAGATACTATGATCTATGTATGCTGTAAATATCTGATCTGAACTGAACATCTTGTATTGCGAAGCGTGATACGAGCTCGACACTGTCAGCTACCAAAAAACCCCACATCCATTAAAACACACTTAAAAAAAAGTAAACACTTCGGAATGATATAATCGACCGAGGGATTACATGTCACGTGTTCAATTTCGGCACAAAACAAATATTTGTATGATCCGCAATTTCCGAATGAAGTATGTTTGTGTGTGTGAACATTGGTGTTTATGAAAGAACCATTTGGATACGTAACAGACCTGATAGGAAGCCATGGTACTTCTACTCTCTTCATAAAACTACTTTAATGTAATAACAAACAAAAAAGTTTGCAAACACAGTCTAGAACTCCATTCAAATTACATGAAGTCAAAAGATAAAATAAACAAAGCATAATTTATAAGCATCTCCGCGTTCTACGTTTAAATAAATCAGGAAAAATAATTCAGAATGGTAACACGTAAATGTCCATTCCAGTATTTCATGCACCACTGCACGTATTCCACTCGCTAAGAGGTTTCACACATTTTATGTATACGTTTAGCTACAAATGCTACGTTATAAAAGTACGCTAGAGTGATAAAACTGTATGTAATGGACGGTGCTTACCACTCACTGCAGATTTAGTTTAAGATTCTGCTCTAGGTACTATAAACCTGACTGTTAAAAATGTTTAAATCTGGACAGAAACATGCAACTGTACACCTAAAGTTAAACATAGCATTTATCTTTTACTAGTTCTGCCCGCAATTCCACTGGCCTGTGTTCACCGGAGATAGTGTAGCTTCCGAACAGTGATGTCTAGATCACTGAATTAATATGTGACACGTTAACGGTGTCGCGAGCTCAAATACTTCACCTTCATCGACATTATTTATTGATGAAACTGACTTTTATACTTAAAATTTAAACCTTCAAGAGACAAGCGTACTCCTTCTTAAAGGGCACCTGTGAATCGTCTGTTGCTGCAGGTGTCCATGGGCGGCGCCGATCGCTTACCATCAGGTGATCCGTCGGCTCGTTTTCCTCCTATTCCATAAAATAAATAACGAAAGTGTAGCGCCTAAACTTAATAAAGTGAAAGAATTTTTAAAATCGGTCGAGTCGGTCGGAGGATATTCAAACAAACATACTTACCTTTTCTCTTTATAATACAGGTGTAGAAGTATAGATTCCCCATAAAGTAAGAAAAAATTAAATGGAACCCACATTTCGTCAACGATGTACCTAATAAGTTGGTTGTAACAGAAATCTCAATCCGAAGCTCATAATTCCAAACTCCACAACACATTTTGCATACAAAGATAGTGTTTGCAGAGCATCTACCGATAAAACTGGAGGCCTCATTCTAGCCAAGTTTAATTAAAGTTGCAACAGTATCAAACACAGTTCTCTTTTACGGTATTGCAGGCTTTGTGAGGCTATTAGGAACTAGCCTCCGATATTGAGCCTCGGTGCAGCTGTAAGCCACATAACGCAATGTCGATATTCGAGGAACGTAATTGGTGGAAGCCACTCGCGTGAGCTCCGGTTGGCTTGTCCAAAATCTGTTGGAAGCTGACCAATTTGTACGGTAGACAATTAAACAATATTGGTGTTTGATATAGGAATACATATTATTCTATTTCAAGGCAATGTTAGTTTGAAAAACCGCACGGTTAGTGCGGTGGCTGGGCAACTGGCTGCCGTACAACGTGTCGCGGGTTCGAACAACTCTTTGCGTGATCCACAAATTGTTGTCCCGGGTCTGGTTGTGATGAGTATGTGAATTTGTATGTTTATAAACGCACCCACGACACAGGAGAAAATCCTAATGTGGGGCAAAGTTTTTAGCTTAGCTTCGATGTAAATTTTTGGGCGGCAAAAGGTTTGCCGCGTTTTCCGACAATGTCTGCTTTTAAACAAGGAGTTCGGATTTAGTTTCAATACATTCCTATACCTAGATTAATCCTATTACATGAAACTTATAATGTTACTGGTTACATTAGATCCTTAAACCTTTAAGCCTATCTCATCATAACGATGTAATCTTATATCTTCACTTGTTTTTAGCATCTTGTATATCTATTCTTGTAAAGCCGAGCGGGTAAATGTACTGTTAAATAGGTGATAATTTAAATTTCATGTGACGTACGGCTAAAACAAAAGTCCTTTACCTAAAAATGTATTAGCACTTTTCTTGTGAATAACGCTAACTGTTGGCGATGGAATATTTTTTTCGTGTATAGATTCTTGATAGGCACACTAATTTGTACTTCTTTGTCAAAATTCGATATAAATGTGAATATTTTTTGCGTTACAATAATAATTATGTCGGTTTACAATTAAAGGTGTACAATTGGTAGCGGCAGTTGACATCTTCCGACTGGTAGTAACTAACAATAATTGAAAATTAAGAAAATGATTTCAAATTTTATTACTTTTCTTTATTCTAGTTTAAAAAAAGAGCGAGTATACTATAAACAT